TCCCAACATAGTTAGCAGAGAGAGTGTGCCAAGAAAAGGAAACCTCCAGAACAGCGCCAAAAGCGAAAATAGGCAGAGAGCAACAGGAGATGGGGGGCCCAGACAAGCAGGAGGCCACACCTTGGCCTTCTGGCCAGTTTAAGCAAAAATAATTATCTTGGCGGGGTGGGAATTGGGATAGGAGAGGTGTGGCTGAGAAGACGCTCTTTTTATATTAATTCTAAAACTGTTCACATCAATCAATGAGTTAAAATTTACACATGAAAGAAAAATGTAGAAACTCCCAAATTGCACAGATGGCTCTTGTAAATATGTGTAGGAATTAGGCTTTTCTTTTTGTCAGACATTTATAACTCAAATTCCACGACCTCTCAGTTAGGGGAATTTTAAACAAAGTAAGATGCATCAATCTAAAATTTAATTTTTGAGCTGTCCCTGTAAGGAATATCTAGTATTTATCAAATTAAATAGCAAAATGACAAACTCTAGACTTAATGATCTTCAGAAAAAAATGAGGTGGTTTCAACAATATTTAATTTCTTTCACTTTTATGTTTAAAAAATCGTAGTACTGAATAAGCATTTGAAAAAAGTATGATTTTTAAGAATGCAAAATTGACAATAAAAGAATGTGAGAATTATTTGCTTCCACCACTGTCTCAGATGAAAACTTCCCCAGGCCATAGGGGTCCAAATCTCACAAATGACATCAATCAACAGCAACTCAGAAAACCTTTTGTCCTTCTTGTCTAAGGAAACAAATGGTATTCATTCAGCTTCATCTTGCAGGAGGAGCAGGACAATGAAATGCTGGAATGTTCGGAAGGAAAACCTGCAGTCTGTACAGCAAGACTGCCTCTTGCGATTCCACATGCACCTTCAATGAGAACCTTTCCTTGTCTATTTCTATACATTACATTCTCATAATGGTGAAACTTTTAAGGGTGTGTGTGTGTGTGTGTGTGTGTGTGCGCGCGCGTGCGTGCTAGAGACTGAACACAGGGACTCACTGAGCTATATAGCCAAACGTTAATTTCTTACCACCTTTTTTTTTGGTTACAGGATCTATTTGGCTTAGACTCATAGCGATCCTCCTGTCTCAGCCTCCCCAGCCTGGGATTTACAGGCATGAGTCACCACACCCGGTTTCCGTGGCTGGCACGGTGTGGGGCCAACACGGCATGTGGTACCAGGGATCAAACCTGGTCCTTGTGCTGGCCAGGTAAGCACTTGGACTAATGAGCTATCTCCCCAGCCCCTTTACCACCTAATTCTGTATCAAAATGTTTTTAATCTGCATATCCCTCCCCCAAAGCACATTATTCTTTTTCTAAGCTGCGTTTTTGTTGTTAATGAAAGGAGAAAGAACTGAGCAGAGAGATGGTTTGGGGCTTAAAATATCAAGCATACTTACTTTCCTAACAGCCCAAATCCTTGTGAAAGTTACTGAAAAGCTCCTCTTAGATCTCCAGAACGCTGCAGAAAAACACCTAAGAGCATGGCCAGCTTCCCAGGTGCCAGTGGTAACAAAAGGAAAATGGGCAGGGGTGGGAACATTTCTGTCCATTTCATCACCACCACCAGCCTAAGAAAATAACTTATTCTGGAAACTAGATTTATACAGGAAACTCAGCAAACCAACAATTCCTCTCGAAATGATGAGAAAATTAAACACATGTTCTTATTTTCGATTTTCAGCAAATTAAAGCTATTAAAATTCTCTTTACTCAAGCACTGCCTCTTAAAAATGTTCTCTCCAGCTGTTTATATAAGTGAAAGTCATCATGTAAGAATTCATTGTTCAAAGTTATTAAAGATTCTCCTTTAAAAAAAAATTGCTCTTCTCAAACACTGACATGTGACAAAAGTCCTTACCAGTTTGAAAGTCACATTTTCTGTTTCTTAAAAATTAAGAATCTTCATATAAAGGTTTGTGGCTCTATCTTTTGTTCTCATCAGTAGCTTTCAAACTTTTTTCACCACTGCTCAGTCATAATTTTTACAGAATAACTCAGAATCCATATATACACATCCAAACCCAAACAAGTTTTCACAAGAAAAGATACTCCCTAATAAAGGTAGTGCAATGCTGGTATCTTTTTAATTCTTTTCCATCCTATTAAAAAAATGCCAGTAAAGTCTTTCAATTATTTTTCCCAGTAAAGGATCACACACTGCAGAGCAACACTGTGTTCTATTTATTCTGAGGAACATTTAATAGTAAAATAAAGTATCTATTGTCATTATACAGCATGATTTAAAAAGTGATTACTTTAAAAATACCAGACAGCTCTGTGCAAAGCTGGCTAAGTCCTCCTCATACACTGCTGTTTCCTAAACAGGTCCAGAAATGGACTTATCCGAGCACCTAGCAGAGACTGGTGAAGGCTTCAATCACCCAACTAACCTAGCACGTAGTAAGTAGCCCATGGAGAAATGACGTGGGACAATGGATTCCCATGCCGCAATCTCAGAGACCCGCTGTGTAGTTAGTACCACTTTCATTCCAAAGGACATTTATACACTTTACACTTGGCAAGGGACATAACACAGCAATGACCTGTCTTTATCTGTAACTTTGAGCAACTGTAATTTTTGAGTTCTATTTGTTCATTTCCTAATCTGCCTAAAGACTTTTTAAAATAGATTTTTGTTCCTGACTCAATTTCCTTATGTAATACTACTTTAAGAGTCTGATAATATCACTGGATCTTTGTGGCTTCTTCTCTGAACCTACTCCCCCTCTTAGCAGGCTCTCTGCCTTGTACAGTGATTGTGTGAATTCTGAGTGGGTGAATATTCCACAAAATGTTTGTGGGACCATTCTGGAGATCTGGCTTGAGGTGGGTTCTTCTAGAGAATATTTTGTACTCATCTTTATCAGTTGCCTATGTACCCTACCAACTCGATGCTGTTTAAGGTTCAGCTTGACTTTTTTTTTGTCCTGGGAAGTGAATCAGGGCCTTCACTCTGAGCTGTATGTCTAGACTTTTTTCTTTTGCTTCTTCCTTTCCATCTACCTTTCTTGACAAGGTCCAAGTCATCAAGTTGCCCAACTTGTTATATTCCTTCTCAGCTTTCCTGAGTACTGGGTTATAGGCACCAAGCTGGGCTGATTTTTTTTTTTTTTTTTTAAAGACAAATCAAGGTATATTATGTACAAAATCCCTATGATGAATGTACTTATTGCATATACCTAAATTTTACTAATAAAATTAATTTTAAAAATAGTATCCATATTGGAAAGAATTTGTGCTGAAATCCAAGTATGAAGTGTTTTGGGGGTCTAAATCGTAGGTAGAATATGTGTGTGTATACTTACATCTCACCTCTATCAAGAATCAAAGTTAAACACAGGAACTGTTCTCAGGGTCCTCCGCGGGGACTGGGACTCGGCAGTAAGCATGCCCTGTGTGCCCGCAGGTACACGTGCACATGTGCAGTGATTCCCTGTCCTGGGCGGATCCAGCCTTCCTCTTCTGTCAGTCGGGATCTCAAAGCTGCAAAAGCTAAAGCTATCCTTGTAACTCCAGGTTGCATCTTCCATTTAATTTTATTTTTCTTCATTCTGAGGCCACCTGAGAAGCATTCTTTAACCTTAAACACTTGGGGCAGTTTCCATTAGACTGGTGTACCTCATACTACAGAGCTATGTAGTCTTACACAATCAACCATCTGTTTGAAAGTGATACAAAATCAAACCCAGAGAGAAATTACTGTATTCAGACTTTATTGCTTATTGGTCAAATCATTCCACACAATTTTAGGTAAAGAGACTTTGAGAAAATATATTGGGAGTGTTGAACAGATGATGGCAATATTGATGAAAGTGTTCAAGTATTTTACACAAGGTAATAAGAGGCACCACAGCCACCAGCACCCCCAGAAATTTGTACATTTCATATAAAA